TAATGGCCAAAAGAAGTTGAGTGCAAGACATGCTAAGAGGGTGGCTTATTTGCAATGAGTACACCCAGTCTTTTAAAATGCAGGATGCGGCCAAAAGCGGTGGGGGGGTGTGATGCGGCTCAATGCGGTCCAGATGCGGGTGCATCGCACCGATACGGCCAATAAATATAAAAAAATTCTAAAAAATCTAAAAAACTAAGTTAATGCATAGAAAAATATAGAGGTGATATATGTGATAGTAGGTATTTAGTTTATTCATTAACTCCAAAAATATTAGATGCCAGAGATTCTGTATCTACTATCCCCTGATAGAAACTAGAAGCTTGAAACTAGCTTTCATAAAACATTCAACAAGCAAATATCGATTTCTTCACTGCCCTTGAAACCCTCGATTTGTTGTCATAAGTTCACCTAAACTTCCTCAAATCAACACCCAAAAGATACAAATCAACAATCAAGCATCAACAAATGCACAAATCGAAGAACTTCAACAAATAAAATTTCTGCCCAAAATTTTTTTTGATTCAATCGATCCAACAAAAGCCATGGATGTGGCTGAAAAATGTTGTTTGGGGGTTTAATACCCCCCAAACCCTTTCCCCCCATTTCGAAGGTCAAAATGACCTTATTACCCTAGCTCGAGGGATGCAGTTTAGAAAAAAAAATGGCAGAAGACTACACGGCCTGATGCGGAGAGATACGGGATGTGGCTCTAATGCGGAGAGATGCGACACATATGCAGCCATCTCTCCAAACCGCATATGCGGGGATTTTCAATGCGCAAGCGCCTGATGCGGCCACATTTTAAAACAATGAGTACACCTTCACTATAAGGCACCAATCAAGAGAGCAAAAAAATGATGCACTTAGTCGGCGAGTTCATTTGATGAGGACATTAGCAATTGAAGTGGTGGGTTTAGAAACAGTGCGAAAAGCCTATCAAGATGACCCATACTTCAAGGACATATTGGAGAGGCACCGAACAAGCAATGGAAACTCTTATCACCAATTTCTTTTATCCAACAGCCATTTGTTCTATTGTGTCCTATCCCTAGTACGACTTTGGGGGAGCATCTTATTGCTGATTTGCATTCCAGTGGTCTTGGTGGACATTTTGGAAGAGATAAAACCTTTTCTTTAATGGAGGAGAGGTATATTTGGCGTTCTCTGAGGCGATATGTGTATAGATTTGTTGACCGGTGTATAAAATGCCAAGAGGCAGAGGAGCATTCTCAAAATATAGGGGACTATACACTCCATTACCGGCTCCAAATAGACCATGGGTTGATTTATCCATGGTTTCATAGTGGGTTTACCAAGGACTGCAAGAGGCCATGATTCGATTATGGTGGTGGTGGATAGGTTTTCAAAAATGGCACAATTCATACTGTTTAGGGGAACCACTAATGCCACTATGGTAGCCAATCTCTTCTTCAAAGAGAGTGTGCACCTGCATGGTCTTCCTAAGACCATCACATCTAAGCCACTTTTGAAGAACTTAGTGGAGTAAAATGGGAACTAAATTGCAATTTAGTAGTGCATAGCACCAACAAACTAATGGCCAAACTAAGGTGGTTAATAGGAGTGTTGGTAATATGTTAAGAAGCTTGGTTGGAGGGAATTTAAAAGTTTGGGACATGGTGTTACCACAGGCTAAGTTCGCGTATAATAATTCTCTAAATCGATCAACTGAGAAAGCTCCATTTAATGTGGTCTATGGCATATTACCTTTGCATTTTCATGGCCTAATATCATGTAGATGCTTCAAACATGGCTAACTACATGGAGTTACATGAAAAGGTTCGAAAGAAGTTGGAGGAAAGTTATGCCAAGTATCAAGATGTCGTGAACCAACACCGACAGACAATTGTTCAAAGTTGGAGATCTTGTTATGGTGTATCTAATGTAGGAGCGATTTCTCGTCGATACATATGGCAAGCTCAAAACATAGAAGATTGACCCTAGTAAAATCAAAAGGAAAATCAATGACAATGTCTATGAAGTAGAGCTGCCAAGAGGATAGAATACCTCCCTAATCTTCAACGTACAAGACCTCTTCGAATGTCATGGTAACGGCGACTGGACAGAGTTGAGTCTTTTCCAACCCGGGGAGTATGATGCAAATTGCATCCGGAAGTTTTGGGTCCCAAGACAAAATTGCCATTTTCAAGTTCTTCGGTCACGAGAACGTAATCCTCATGTTCATGATTTGTTTTTGGTCACCGGGACAAATCTGTCATTGTTTCTTTGTTTTGGGTCCCAGGATGTGTTTGTCATTTTCTCTTTGTTTGTTTTGGTCATTTTTTAATTTGTCATGGTCTAGGGAATTTGGCGTAGAGACAAGTAATTTATTGTGTGGAAATTTTCATGAGCCCAAAGGCCAAAATGTGTGGTTTCGATGCTTAGAAATTGGGTTTCATGTATGAGAACTTGGGTGCATGAAAGTTGCACGCAAGTATGGGAAATAGGGCACAAGGATAATCTAGTTAATTTCACACTTTGTTAAGGGAATTTTGGTCATTTTCTAGTTCTAGCAAACTGGTTCATATGTATGGAACATTTTTTTATATGCACGGAACATTGCTGTAACAATTAGCTAGTTTTGTTGATACTTTGATAATGAAATCTTCCTCCTCCTTGATGTAGAGAGAGTGAGACAAAGTTCCATTCATTGTGTGACAAGAGTACCTTGAGTTGGAAGGCCATCCTTGTGTACTGTAAGTACCTTGAGTTTGGTAAGAGTTAGGGACCAAAAATCCCATTTCTCTTCATTCCCTTGATCGAGAGCAAGGAAGCCAGATTGTTGTTGCACAACGGGCCTCGGATCTATACTTTCCGGTGCCGGTTTTGCACTAGGGAAGAATGGATCCTCTGACCATGTTAACCAAGGGACTTTTTCATCCATTTTGGAGAAGGATCCAGCCTAGGCAACTGCTGTGAAGGATGTCTTGCACAGAGGCTGTACTAGTGTTATTTTATTGCCAACAGCAGCAGAAGCATGAGGGTGAATGTGTTGAATTTTGCAGAAGTCATAGCAATCCCTTAGATCTCTCCTAGACTTCTGGCTAGTTGCCAAGCTTACACTTACCATAGCTTTACTTGATGACACTTCCCAGCTACTTGACCAAAGCTCTTTCACTTTTGATACTTGCCCCTCGTCTTTTTACAATCAGCGACTGGCAAGTGACGGTAAGAGAACACTTTTTACAATTAGCTCAACTTCATTTAGATACTGTTCCTTTGCATACTATACATACCCTCAACTTAGGGAGTTACTTGACTAGCAAGGGAGAAATGCAGCATGGTCAAACACATAGTCAAGCACAAGGCCACAGCTCTTGGCAATTCCTGTGATTAAAAGGCTCCCTCCTCACTCTAGTGAGGACACAATTTTGATAGAAAAGGATGGATTCCCTACAAGGCTTTGGTAGAAGTGGGATAGGGTACTGAATAACCAACCATTAAGGTCCAGCAATAGTTACTTGTTTTTTCCCATTCTCTTTTCCATAAAAGAAGCTCATTCCCCAGTTGTGGTAGAAAATCAAATGGTGGCAACTGTAGCCACTGGACAATCCTATAGTGACTAAGCTGCTGATTGAGGAAATCCCAATATTCAGCAGCTGAAGTACTGGAGCTGAAACATACAACTCATGAAGAGATATACTAGGCCATCTGAAAAGAGCCATGCTTTATGTGAGAATTTTCAAGGGTTCGATAAAAATCTTAGCCATTCTTTAAGGAGCACTACACAAAAAGGATCACCATCCAACTCTTTAAGGTTTGAAATAGAAATTTCTTAGAATTCCCTTGAAGTGAAAATTCTTGATTAGTTCTCCTGCACCATTTTTAAGGCATTAACAGCAAAACTGATTATTACACATCCTAGTGAAAGGCATGGTGATAGTTTAGCATATCATGCTAGACGAACTCAGAAGCAGGAGTCAGCAGACAGGCTACCTTCCAACTGGCTTGTAGCAGTTGAATGGACTACAAATATAGAGTTTCTATAGAAAACAATTATTAAGGTGTCACTTGTGCTCCTGAATGAGAAGTCGTGTACAGCTAGAACGCGTAAATATTTGGAAGGACAAATTGTGGAACCAGCTTTCATAGTATAAACTTGGATTTCATATGTTTTCCATTTTACATTCAGCCAAACTTGCGAATGAAATAAGCTAATCCTGCACACAAAGGACAGGAGCTTCAGTTGCAAATACATTAAAATTGACAAAATTCTCAATGGGTTTTAATGCATTTAACATAACACACTTTAGGTCACTCTCTTCAGTGATTTAACACTAGTAGAAATAACTTTGGAACCAATTGCTAAACAACTAAAGCCCGCTAAACTTGCATCAGGGCTTCAGGAAACACTCAATATGGATCAGTTAGTCCTTGAAAGAAGCAATTGTCTGAGAATGTACATGCTAAAATATACCTTTTGGGAGCTCCTCAGTTATGCCCCATGCAAAATTCTAAAACATGAAAATAGCTGCGACATTATATGGTTTTTGCATGAGAAGTCAAAACTTTGAGGAAGACTGACAGTCAGAGAGAAAGCAAAGGAGGAGAAGAATTCCATGCAAGAAAACAGAACTGAACTTTGTTCTTGTGAAGCAAAACCTTCACATTAAACCATTCCCGCCTAAAATTGAGCTCACAAACTCCCAATCCATCCACTGACGTATTCTCTGCAGAATGCCAAAACCCAACCTAAAATCAAGTTCCTAAACCGCTAATCCCCATTGCATAACAATCATCACCAGATTCAAAACATCCAACCTAATTGATAACCACCAACACAGCAATAGAAATCAAATTGAAAAGTTAATCAAAACCATATCAACCCAAAATAGTACAGAGCACTCATTTCAACAATGCCAACACCAAAATCCCATTCCAAAACAAGCTAATAAACCCACTCAACAATAAACAAACAAAAGCATCAACAAAAACACAACATGCAAAGAAATAAACAGAATGACAAAACAGGCACATACCTGAACTCACCAGTTTTGAGCTCAAATGAACCAGCAAACACCAAATCTTCACCCGAATTCCACACAGGGAAGCCCCAAAGCGTTGCAGAGGCCACGGAGAGAGAGAGAAGGGACCGTCAATCTGAGAGGGAAGGGGGGATGAATTAGGGCATTTAGAGAGAGACAGAGAGGGGGAGGAGGACACATGATGCGATGATGTGTTGTGTTATATATACGGAGATGGAATACCGGCGCATTCGTAGGCCTACACATCCATCGAAGGCGACTGACATGGCAGCCAGCAACAGTTGGAGGGTGCACGGGGAGTAGAGCCACTGGGAGAGCGCCACGTGGCGGTGTGGAAGGGTGCTCCTCCCCTTCCCCCATATTTTGAGGACTTTGAAGCAAGAGGAGTTGATGAGGAATGCATTGCCATGCAATGGAGAGACACTCTCTCTCCTCCCTCCCTCGACCTCGATCCTCCCACTTTGTCTCTCTTGCTTTGCGACCGGGGGAACGGCGAAAGTGCGTCACCTCCGACTTCGGTTTCGCGCTTTGCTCCGTGCCGCCATTTTCTCTTTTCCCCTTCCTCTCCCTCTCATTTGGCCACCCCTTTCCTTAGTAATCCACCCAAACTGCCTTCGTCCTTGTATTCCACACGTGTTAGGGGTGACCCAATGAAAACTTCATATCGCTTAAGAAAACCCCTGGCCCGACAGTTGCCCCATATTGCCAGGCCAAGACCAGAAAAAACAAATGAAGAAAATCATCATTTGAGTTTTTTTTTTTATCAATTAAAAATATAAAAAAAAAACAACAAATGAATAAAATACAAAAGAAAAAAAAAAAAAAAGCTAACTGCATAATGCCCCATAGCGCAACAATTTATGGCCCAAGCCGTACCCCAACCGGGCGGTCCGGGGTCTACCACCCATTGCTAACACTAACTACCATTCATTGCAGTCTCGCTGGTAAAGGGTTGATTACGGCCTATTTAAGGGATGAACAACCCACCGTTGCTTGGGGCTTATCTCTTGGGCCCTCTCTCTTTAGTCTTTGCCATTCATCACTTCACCGAAGAGCAATGACCCTGTGGATTATGGATTACAGCGTGGTCCATAAGATTATGGTGTTTTGAAATTATTGTTGAAAAAATCAGGCGATCTAATCTCTAACCACCCAGTTAGATTGGAACCCGTCGGTTTTGGTTTTGGGTGGTTTTGGTGATCGACTGGTATTTTGAAAAAAAAAATCAAAATATATATAAATTCTCAAAAATAAGGAATTTGGTTTGTAATTCATTTTTTAATATTTTTATAGCAAAGATTAAAAAATATTTTGGTCATCAATACTCAATTTTATATTTTCCCATCTTTTTCTGAAAGTCAATTTTGGTAGTTAAAATCCATTTTTTCATTAATTTTCAATTTAATTTTAATGTGTTTTATTTTAATCATTATTTGTATGTTTTTTCATATTTTAGTATATTTTTGTATCGTTTTTATTTTTTTCAGCACTTTTTTGACCGCCCGGGACTTACCCAGTCAAAACTTAGAACAGTTGAATCGACCAGTTTACCGGTTAGACTTGTTAAACCGCTTTTAGGTGTACGTCCGGTTAACCATTCCGGTTCGATTTTGCAATGAAACTTGTCCAAATGCTTCCCAACGAATACACCCCTTTACATAGGCTTATAAGGGAGAGGGGATGTGTTTTAAAATGGATAAATTTAAAATCATATGCCTTTAAAAATGAAAAAACTTGGATAATCTCATTTTGAATTTCAAAATATGGGCATCTTGAAGAAAAAAATTATCAGCTTAAAATACAATTTGAGAAGGATTTTAGTAGAATAGAAAATTGGGGGGACACTATAGTAAAAATGAAAGCCATTTATACTACTTTTATTCAATAAAGGACAAAAATTTCTTCTTTTTTAGACAATATGATAATAACTCGATGCTTGTTGTATCGGGCTTCTAAATTTAGTACTTAAGTTAGAAAAAGGTTAGTATGGGATGAGGCCTTATTGAATAATGGCGAAGATGCGCTGCAAATCTCAGAATAAATCGTAATTATGGCATAGGAAAACTCTCATATTAATCATCTTAATCTCATCACTTATAGGTATGGAAAAAAGGATTTGAAGCCCTAAAATTAGTTTTTCTTATAGTATGTTATCTAGACATTACATTTAAAATATTCACAAATTTGCCATATGGACCACATTTTTATCTTTAAATTCAAAATCAATGGCAAAAGTAGATTTCTCAGGCTATCGTAGGTGTTTCTGACCCCAGAACTACATCTTCTAGTGGTGTACTAAGGTGCAATTTTCTTTTCTTCACATGCCTTTATATAAACTATTAAATAAGGAGAAAGATCTCATACCGTCATGTTATTGAAATATAATAAACTGTACTTCTAGAAAACCATGGTATTTGTTTGATTTCAAATTTTGCACGCACATTCTCTTCATCCCTATATTCAATCCCAAAAAAATAAAAGATTCAATCTGCACTATAGATATGATCAAAATGAGTCCCTTCTAACAACAAATCTAGACCATCTATTTGGTGAATTACATGGTCTATGCTTTTATAATTTCAAAATCTTTTTTTTTTAACATTGTTAATCTAACGATAATAAAGCTATCTAAAAATTTTGGAAAGGAAAAATCCTTTTAAGGCCTAGAACTAAGAATATCACTAAAATAGATGGTCTACATTAATTGGACTAAAAAAATCCTTCTAAGCGTGTTTTTCAAATTTTACTTTTTAGTGATTGTTCAGTAAAATGAAAATATTGTATATTTAAAAATGGGTGCAGTTTGTATAGAGCCGAGGTTTTAAACAATCAAATTAGAGCCTACCTTCAAATAGTATCGAAAAATGTGATTTCAATACTGAAAATCTTTGTGATAGCCTTAAAATATATGTTCATCTTTAATTATAAAATTTAAAGCTTAAAAAATAGTGTAGATTGAGCACATCTAGGAAAACTTGAAAATTGACGGTCCAAAAATGAGTTACAAGATGCATTATTTCCAAAACTTGAAATCCATTTTTTTCTCATGTTCACGTATCTTGATGCCGAGATGATCAACTTGAAGATATTTGGGCATCAAAACAACCTCTTATAATGAAATTTTTGAGGTGGGCTCCAATTTGAGATTGTTTAGAGCCTCAGTTATATATAAACTTTTCCCTTTAAAATTTTGGATAAAAAAAATGACTCTAATATAGTTTTGAATATTATTTCATTATATTACTATAAAACCGTTGCATGAGATCACTCCCCATTAAATAAAAGTAAAATAAGAAGAGTTTTTTAATAAAAAAATAGTTGTTTTATTTTTCAACAATGTCCTTCTAAAAAAAATAATTGATATATTTATAAAGGATATAATTTCTATAACGCATAAACTTTTTGGAAAAAAAAGTAAAGTCTCACATAAAAACTATGACTCTGAAATGAATTCTACCAAGGACAATCTATATTACATTATTAATCCGGGGTAGAAACATGTCCGAAAATAAGAACCGCAAGTTTATAGAGGCTATACTAGACATTTCGACCTTGAATGACAAAGGGAGAGAGCATCCATAGCCTAATCTTAGGAAAGAGAGAGTATGCGATCCACACACTAATTCGAGGGAAGAGAGAGAGCATCACATACTAAGTTTAGGGAAGAGAGAGTACGCACCCACGCCATGAAGATATAGCGCATGCATTCTTGCACTAATTTAGGGAAGAGAGAGAGTACACATCCACCTACTAATTTTAGAATATACATATTTTAAGATGGAGATGGCTAGATTCATTGCAAGAGATTTTAAAGACGAGTGATATGCAATAATTTTAGGAAAAAATTGGAGTTACCATAATAAAAAGTATCACACACTAATTTTGTCTCATCAAAAGAAAATTACAGGTTAAGAAAATCATCTACAAGATTTAGTCAGTTATAAAGAGATTTTCAAAGATTAGAATAAGATCTAATTGGATTACGACTTTAAGGATGCAATTGGTTTCTAAGAAGTAGCAATTCAAATCAAATTGAGAAATTATAAGGAAGATTCCTAATATGGATAAGGATGTGATTTGAATCCTTAGATCATAATAATTTATCAATGGTTGTAGGCTGAGATTTAATCTCGCACCCATAGATTTCCCACTTCATCTCTCTCTATCAACAAATTCAATTTACAATAAAATCAAGAGAGAGTTGCTTACCATATCAACAAAATCAATACTTATGTAAACATACTGTATGTTTAATGCTACCATCAAATGTTTTGAACAGCATGATTTTCCGTATATGGTCAACCTCCATATAATATATATTGCACTTCCATTTCGTGGTAAGCCATACATATGCCTACCATAGAGATGCTCAACTTCCTTATCATGTTAATATACATATGAACCAATGCAAATCTCCAAATTTTAACCGGCCTATTATTTGAGCAAATTATAATGAATTTAAATGGGACCTAAAAATAATTTATTTACAATAGTTCTTTGGCCTCTCGCTTCCCTTAAATATAGGTATTGATATGGTAAGTATCTCTCTTGATTTTGTTGTAAATTGATTTTGCTGATTATTGTACATTCTAATATCTATCTCTTACTACTTTTCAAATCCTATTTTCTCTATCTCCCTCTCTCTCTTAAGTCTTAACCCGTCTCTTCCATGCTCTATATCTTCAACAAAAATTACGTTTAAATAAAAAAGTATGAGATCGCAATCTCTATCTCTTTCTATTTTAGAATAGGTTTAAATTTTTATCTCTTTGTGCTTGCAAAATTCAAATGTCTCTCTCTCTCTCTTCAAACATCTTCTACAACGTCTATGCAATTAGGTCCCTTAATCCCGGCTTAATAGTGTAGTAAGTATAAATTTCCTACAAAAAATAAAATAAAAAATGGAAACATGGGTATGAGTATATTAAATGGAAGATTTTGGTATATATAAAATATGAAAAACTTTATGATATATTTCTGATAATTTTCCTAAAATAATATGAGATTATTTATTTTTTAAAACGAAGAAAATCATATGTTGATAAAAAACTGATCTAAATTACTCTCTAAAAGAAATCCATTCGAGGAATTAGTTGTGAATAGCTTCCCAATTCTAAGAAATCAGATTTCTATTATTTAATTTATAATAGTCCATGTACCCATAAAACTACCAAAAATCAATAGATGGCTCCATGCATGCATGTTTGTTTTTTCTTTTTGATAGTATCATGCATGTTGTACTTTCATGAAATCACATAACATATATTCATTTTTGTGTAGTGCAATATTTATCAAAATCAATGGAATTGGCCCCATGCATGCATACTATGTTTTTTCTTTCCCCCCCTTTTTTTTTATCATCATGCATGTTGTATTTCCATGAAATCAAATAACATATGTTCATTATTATGTAGTGCAATATCTTTGATAATAATTGTTTTCTCAATCATAAAAAAATGTTAAAAGATTGTCAAAATTTGTACTGATATTACATAATAGGAAATAAATCATAATTCTAAAAACCAT